TCTTGACAAAATGGATCGACGCTCCCCATGGTGAACTACTTGGTCGAATAAACCCTTTCCCCAACAGCTCCTGAAGCTGCGAGGATAACTCCTGCATCTCTGGTGGCGCGAGGCGATAAGGCGCCTTGGCGAGAGGTGCTGCTCTCGGAACCAAATCGATACGGAGCTCCACTTGTCTTTCCGGAGGCACGCCCGATAGTTCCTTGGAGAAAACATCCGGAAACTCGCACACTATTGGGACCTTGTCAATCGAACTTGGCCTCCACGCGGCCACTCGTGTATCCGTTACATAAGCTATGAATCCACTAGAGCCTTGCTGCAAACTCTGCCTCGCCCTGGCAGCCGAACAAAACGCTGACCCACACCGGGTCCCTTCGCCATACACAGTAAGCACTCCCCCACTAGGGTGTTGTATGGTCACCAGCTGTCTCTCGCAGTCAATAACCGCTCCAAACTTACTCAACCAGTCCATGCCCACGATGACACAGACATCTCCCATCGCGATAAGAACTAAATCAATTGGGAACTTGACGCCAAAAATCTCAAGCACACATCCTCGAATCACTTTGGTAGCATACACCACTTTCTCATCAGCTATGGAAACCCTTAGGGGTCAACTCATCACCTCCCGACTAATACTGATGTGCTGACTAAAAGCCAAAGATACAAAAGACCGACTCACACCCGAGTTAAATAATACCAAGGAAGGTACATAATTCACAAGAAAAGTACCTACGCATATCATAATATAAGCACAATATGTCAACATGAAAGTAAATACACGAAAGAATACATACCAGCCACGACATCGGGCGATGCGCGGACCTCCTCCGCAGTTAACTGAAAAGCTCTCCCTCGAGCCTTCGGAGCCTCGGCCTTTGTCGGTCGAATCTCAGTAACCCTAGCAGCAGGCGCAAATCCCTGTGCTGATCCCTGGTGTAGCTGAGGACACTCGGCCTTCCGATGGCCGATCTGTTTGCAATGGAAGCAAACCATAAATCCCCGTGGGGCAATCCCTGGCGATATGCCCCTCCTTGCCACATTTATAGCAAGCGCCCAATCGACAAGCCCCCTGATGTCCTTTGCTGCACTTCCCGCAAGTGCGGCCCTTCTGGCCTCTCGTCCTCGAATCGGCGGACTTGGTCCGCTTGGCTGCCGACTGAGACTGATCCGGCCATCGATCCATCCTCTGAGACTCAGCCTCCTCCCTAGCCTAAGTCTCCAACTCAATCTCCCTCTTCCGGGCATTTTCCTGGAGCTTAGCAAATGTCCGATACGTTGAGTTCGACACGAACTCCCGAATGTACCTCCTCAGAATACCCAAATATCGGCTCATCCGTGCCTGCTCAGTAGACACCTGCTCAGGGCAGAACATCGCCCTTTAATGAAACTTCCGGGTGACAATAGTAACCGAATCATTACACTGCTTGAGGGTCGAGAACTCCTGAATCAGTCGTTCCATCTCCACCGGGGGAACATACTCGTCTTTGAACATGGTGGTGAACCTCTCCCAGGTCACTGCTGAAATCTCTACAAGAGTGAAGTTCGCTGTCACGAACTTCCACCAATCCTTCGCTCCCAGGCGAAGCTGGTTCAAAGCGAACTGTACCCTCAGATGCTCCGGGCATGAATGCGTATAGAAGCATCCCTCAATGTCAGCAATCCATCTCACCGCAACGATCAGATCCTGCATCCTATCAAACTCGGGTGGCTTCATGTTATTGAACTCCCAAAACAACAACGAGTCACCTCCCTGGGGCCTGGCAGCAGCCACAGCTGCTGTAGCTGTAGCGGCTGTGGCCTCAGTCACCGTGGTGTACCGCTCATCAAAAGTCTCCAACAGTGTGGTCTTGATAGACCCAAACATCTCCGGAATCTCGACGCTAATTACCGCAGCCACCTCATCGTGAATCATCTGACGAAGCTCCTCGTCACTCACACCACTCATCCTAGGTTTGTGGTGTGTCCCAACCATGATGCCTCTCTAAAATACAACATAAAAATATCAGAGACTCGATCGAGCATACTCGCACTCGATAACACAACCCTACTCGGCCTCCAATACCTAAAGGATTCTTACTTGGGCTGCCCACTGATCCGATGTCTTCAGTAGTATGGGCCCTATACTACTGATCACACCGCATCAGCATTCACCACAAGTCCTCCTCCTTGGATCCCGCAACGCAAGTACTCTATTCTCGCTATGCATTGGCTACCTACTCGCTCTCAAGGCATCTCATAGCAGTAGGATTCTCCTAGACTAAGGCATCACAAATCAGGCCACTCTAGTCCTAATATGAATACCTAGTCTACTCTAGCATGCATAACATATCGTAGCATATCTCATAACACATATTGTAAGGGTATCTTGGGGATTTTACCGTTCGGGCGCTGGCTGACCATACACACTGCTCCTTCTTTGATTATCTCAAACCTCTTGTAAAATTTAATGCTTTTATTATTGGAATTTTTTTCTCAAATCCTCGGTTTGAGTTCAGTTACGCCCGAAGGTGCACCCGAATCCCTCAAACCAAGGCTCTGATACCAACTTGTAACAACGTGAATTTTCAAAACAATTTTTTTCATTTCTCAAACAACATAAACCATCATATAATATTCTTAAGTCTCATGTTTAGCAAATGTCATCATAATAAGATACATCCCAAGATCATAAAATAAGTCTTCCGTCAGTGTGTACACATCATGCCGGCGCCTTCCCACGGTCCTCGCTCGTACCTGAAACACATAACATAACAACTGTAAGCATAAATGCTTAGTGAGTTCCTCAAAATACCACATACACACGTACGCCCTTCCAGGCCATGACCATCCGGTCCATGTCTCTCAGGGGACTTCCGTCCCGACCCGGTAAACCTTCCGGTCCTACCCGCATCGACTTTCCGGTCCACATCGCAATGCCTTCCGGCCCTAACATAATTCCTTCCGGCCCATATCAAGCATAACATACATAGCACATACAACGCATATATCATATAGCATATCCGACCTTCCGGTCCCGCATAGGTACCCTCCCAGGTACAGTATAGTGAGAAGACTCACCTCTTATATCTCGGTAAATCACTGACTCGGTAGAAATACGATCTAGCCTCTGCCTAAACACATAAAACAATACTCCCATAAATATAACTATACTCCCACCTTTCCTCAGAAGGGTAAAAGACCATTTTACCCCTCTTCTGGCTCAAAAGGCCTTACTGCTAACCAAACCCTAAAAGTCAACCAAAGTCAACGGTCAAACTTTGACCCAACTCGGCGAGTGCACTTGGGCAACTCGGTGAGTCCACCTGTCTCCACTTAACTCCTTAGTCCCATTTAACACATCGAGTCCCTCCCTTAATTCGACGAGTCCCCAGGCAAGAATCACGGGGCTACCCTAACTCAACTCGCCAAGTCCCAAGAACAACTCGGCGAGTACATGCCATGCACAGGTTCTATTGACCTCCTGAGGTCAGATCCGTTCCTCAAATCCATAAATCTAACCTTCCCAAGCAATATAATCACGTAAAGCTCGAATCTTGATGCTTATAAATATACATAATGGCATCAAATGGTGATTTAGTCCCAAAAATGGCAACCTAAGTCCAGTCACCCCACAAGGACTCATAAAGCTTAATGGATTGAAGTCTCTGGATCTCTTTGATTCCATATCCAAAGCATAAACTCGATAAGGGACCAATTGCTCCACATAAACATCCTCACAAGAGGTTAGAAAACCTTAATCTCTAAGTTCAATACCAAAACTGAAGAAGGTCCGAATGAATACCTCAATTTGAAGTCTCTGGCCTCTGAAACCACTTGAATCACACCTCCTTCAGCCTCCTCTTGCTCTTGATCACCTTCTTTTTGCCAAACCAAGGATAGAAAGATCAATTATGGCTTCTCCTTTCTCTAAAGCGATATAGATCACTAAGGGAGCTCTCAAGGGACTGGTAGCCACAAATGGAAGGCTAAGAGTGCCCTTAAATAAGCTCCAACCCCAGAGGATTAGGGTTTCATTAAACAGCGTGGACTCGCCGAGTTCATTCATGGACTCGTCGAGTCCAATGCGAATCTGGATGAACAACCACGACCCTACTCGGCGAGTCTACGCATCAACTCGCCGAGTTCCTTCACATAATTCAAAAAAATAAATATTAAGTAAGATGTCTGGGATTCCGAATGTTACAAGACTCCCATAGAATAACCAAAGAAAAAGAGAGTAATTGAAACAATTTTCGTATGTTTATTCCATATTAAGGGAATTTTGTGCATTACGCGGAATGCAATTATAAAGTTTATTATATAAATAGTTTATGGATTTTTTACTTTCATTAGGATTACAATTGAATTTAGGTTTTACATACTTTTAACTATTTATAAAATAATCATTGGACTAATGCTAAAATTATTAAAGTGTCAATAAATGTTGTTTAAAGTTTAACAAGTACAACTAAGTAGCTTTTTTAGTTACACTGATATTTATGACTATTAATTAAATACGATTGAAGTAGTGTTTAGTCTGTTGAAATAATGATATGAACATCTAATGTTGACTAAATATTGTACCAAAATTTTGTTATATGCATTGAAACTCAATTTTAATCTTCCAACTTTTGAAATTCTAATTAAAGGTTGTTAGAATTAAACCAACACAACTAAAAAGGTTTTTTTCGTTCATTATACTTTTGAGACTTAATTAAACAATATTAAAATATTTAAATTGTGTACAGTAATTTAAATAAATAATATAACCATCTAATGTCTAGACCAAATGTTATACCAAAAACCTCCAAATCAATTTTGTATATATATATATATATTAAAGATGAGCACCATTTTGAATAGTGAACATTCTATTTTTTTTTTTTTGGCAAAAATGGCCCGTAGCTTTTCATATTTTGGGTTGTTCAGATTTTTGGCACTAAAGTTTGTGGTGTTAACAATTTGGTCCCTTTGAAGATAAGAATGGAGCTCATACGTGTCATTCCCATGCCTTTCCCCATCGTTTCTGCCTTATCTCCCCCCCCCCCCCCCCCCCACCTCCTTTCTCATCCAGTCATATTCCCATTTCGATGTTCCTCAAAAGAATAGATCGTCTGGATTTGGGTCATCAGCGCCTCCACCACCATTTCACATTCTGATTCTTCACTGTTACGTCACCCCCCAATCCGTTTTCACTAGGTTTAGTTCCCTCTGTCGAATATTGTTAGTCTGTCGCATCCCCCATGCCTCCACTTCCCCCATCTCGGACGTCGCCTCCAGCTCTCTGCGATCACCATCCTCGATTCAGCTTCCAATACCGATGCACCTCACCGCCATCGCTCCACCAAGGCTTCATGTCATCGCCGCTTCCGCCACCAGTCCAGGAAACCCACCACTTCCCCCACCGCTTCATTGTTCCTCGATTACAACACTTTGCTTCATTCCAGTTTTGCATCGGTTGGATGGGTCTAATTTCATTTTATTCTTATTTAGGTTTCGATGAATTTGAAAGGGGTTTGAAGGCCGGCTTCCGAATTCCAGGTATCTCACCTCTAATTTTGGATTTCAAGTAGCTTAGACTATGAAGTTGCCGACAGTGTGAATCGAAATCAGATTAGGGTGTACGTATCTTTCTCTTATTTATTTTTTTCCCCGTTTCTGTTCAACGTATTTGCAGTTTTGTGTTTGGTTTGATAAAGATGATATACTCTAGGTTTTCTACAATTTCTCTTTATGATTTTGGAATTTGGCAACATATTATTCGCCTATGATGGATTCTACTGATTGGACTGATTCTTGGATAAGATCCATGGGTTAACGGTTCCAGAAGACAGGCCTTACCAAGTGCATAATCTGCATGAAGCAATTGGGGTTGCTAGACAGATCATTCCATGGAACTTTCCTCTTCATATGTTTGCTTGGAAAGTCGGTCCTGCCCGTGCTTGTGGCAACTCCATTGTTTTAAAAACAACTGAACAAACTCCATTGACTGCTCTTTATGTTGCATAATTGCTCCATGAGGTACCATAAGATTTTATATATGGGAAAAATAGCTAGACCTTTTGTTTGTTGTTTTTTGGAAGCACGGATTATAGGAAAAAAAAACATTATGTTTTTGGAGTATATTTAAATTGGCTTTTATCTGTAGGCGGGTCTTCCTCCTGGTGTTCTTAATATAGTTTCAGGATTCGGTCCAACTGCTGGAGCAGCTCTTACTAGCCATATAGATGTTGATAAGGTAAATAATTAGTGTTAAAATATTTAAATCCTTTTATATTATGCTCATTTGCATCAAATTTGATAATTCAATGCTTTCATTTGCAGATTGCTTTTACAGGATCAACTGAAACCGATAAAATTGTGCAAGAATTGGATGTAAAAAGCAATCTTAAGCCATGTACTTTAGAGCTTGGAGGGAAATCACCTTTTATCATTTGTGAGGATGCTGACATTGATAAGGTTGTTGAACTAGCTCACTTTGCCCTCTTTTTCAATCAAGTTTGTACTTTTAAAATTTAAAATTTTCTATCTTTTTGATCTCAAAATGAATGAGCTAATTATTTTAATATATAGGGTGAATGTTGTTGTGCTGGTTCAAATTCCTTTGTTCATGAGCACGTATACGATGAGTTTATAGAGAAATCAAGAGCACGCGCTCAAAGACACACTGTTGGTGATCCTTTCCAAAAGGGTATTGAACAAGGCCCTCAGGTATTTGCTTTCCGGGTTGTTTTTTTGGACTTAATGGGTTAGCAGTTGATATATGAATGTTTCTTTTTTACTTAATGTAACAATCCGAAATTTGTATCACTGCTTGTAACCCTTTTCGTAACTCATTTCGATAATCCAATCGCCGTTTCCAATTTCGTTTCCAATTATGTCATTTAATTAAGTCATTAATATGTATTTTATATTATGACTTAATGGGTGTCCTAATGCCTTTAGAACTCATTCTATCATCTCATATTAGTGATCGGAACATTTCTAGAATCAACCACATCGAGTTACGGCAACTTAATCGGGTGCGACCAAATGCCCCGTCTAACGCCGGTATCGGGTAGAATTCCTCTGTGTCCAAATCCCGAACACTATTTAAAGTGTTCTAAGCTTCCATTTGAAGCTTTTGCTTCATCTCACTACTCTCTCTCTAACCTCTCTCCTAAATCCAGGTTTAAGGGTCCAAATCATCAATTTAAGGCTTCAAATCTTTGAGGTAACTTCCCTAACTTGTTATACAACCCCTCTAGCCTTCAAATTCGAGTTTAAACCACGGATTAGGACCATTATCATGGGTTTACGGCCCTAGAACTGTCCTAGGCCATAAACTCATTTAAATGGGATTTTTGAGCATCAAAACCCTTCCAAACCACAAGTAGACCTTAGATATGGCTAGATGACTTCATGGAATGGACTTGGAATGCCTTAAACATGGTTTTTGAAGGGTAAACATGAGTTTACTGCCCAAGAACAATCTTGGGCCATAAACTCCTCATTCATGGGGAGTAAACTCTTTTTCTTGTGTTATAAAGCCATATAAACACACCAATAGTCTTGGAATAAATCCTAGAATCATCTAAAAATAGTTTAAGGACCTTAAACATGCCAAACACCCTCCAATTACGTGTTTACGGCCAAGACACCCCCAAGAACATATTCATGGGTCGTAAACTCCTTTATACATGTCAAATGGTACCCTAAATTCATACCTAGGCTTGGAAAAGTAGTAGGAATCACATATGATTAAGCTAAGACCATTAAATCATCAGTTTACGACCGTAAACTCCTTGTTTAGGGCTGTAAACTCCCTTAAATAATGTCATTTGGTGATTTAATTTACTCCCATGCCTTAGGTAAAATTGTTCCAAGTCCCAAGTCCCACGCATCAATACACGTCCGTAGATGTCACCCGGGTCACTCCAAACACTCGTTTTGAGGTGTTTTCGTTTATTGGAGTGTAATATCATATCTAATTAGAGTTTATGAATCTAATTAGATATATTTGTATACCATTTCATATTACATAGGAATCTCGCGTGTTATCAAGCCTCGATTCGACACTTAGCATCCGGAACGTCACAATTTCTCGTCTGGTGAGTTCATACCCCTACCCTTTTTCAATGGTTTTTAAATGTTTTCAGGGGGAATACAAGAAAAAGTACAAGAATATCTTGTACTTAAATACACTATTTCATTTAAATGGTTTCATAATTCTCACACTTTTAAGAATTGAAAACTTACTAACAAACTGTTTTAACTCGCAGAGTTGTTTGTTCAAACCGATTTTCAATTCTTATTATATACTGTTATGTTGTATACTTTACAATTGATTGTTCACACTTATATTGATTGAGATTATAAAACATTTGTAAAGTCTGTAATAAAACGCCCTAGGCTCGAGTGTAAAGGACAAACACCTTTAGAAAACATAAAACATTGTAACGTCCTTAATAATACACCTAGGCTCGAGTGTAAAGGACAGGCACATTAAAACTTAGTTGGTCATAGATACTATTTCCCTAGGCGAGAAGTAAAGGTAATCTTAAAAGATTGGAGACACGTCCTCTGTAACACTTCCTTGGCACGAGAGAGTGGAGGTCAAACCCTGTAACCAGAATCTCCAGGAGGGAGAACGTGACTTGAGTGTATAGATCTATACGGGACTGACAATCCCGCACCTGGCTGCTAGCTACAACCGAACCAAAAGGTTCAAGGGTGACGAAAGTCATATAAAGTATACTAGCCCTGTCCCGAGTCATATCTAGTCTGAGTATGGTTAAGGACTCGCAATCAAGATTATTAACGCTTTACATGTATTATTAGTTTTATGTACGTAATAAAACTAATGTACGTTTAAGGATAATCGGACTTTCAGGAGACACACACACAATCAGGAAAACATGGGGTTTTCCTGGGGATAACATTGAACATAATTTGAATCCGTAACAGTTAGCACACACAGAATTGGTAACAATACACACACACATTCAGGAAAACATGGGGTTTTCCTGGGGATAACATTTAACATAATCGGAACCGGTAATAGTTCGTACACACAGAATCAGTAACAGTTCACACATACACATGTAGGAAAATATAGGATTTTCCTGAGTAACCGTAGTACATAACCAGAAAAGTGTAACAAGTTAAATAACTAAACTTTACAATTCACAAGAACAATCATGTTTTCTTGCTACATCTTTTACATTACATTTTGGATTTGGTAACCAACTTTTAAGAAAATATGGGATTTTCCTGGATAACCACTTTTTCAGGAAACTAAAGGAACTCGTATATTTTCATAAAACTAACCGCTTATGAACTCACCAGCTTTATGCTAATTTTCAAACCGCTTGTATTCTCAGGTCCGCATTAGACAGGTACCCGACGATCTATTTTGGCGAAGACGGAGTGCGTAGAAGACTCGTCTCATTTTGTTCATATATACTATGTATCACACTTGTACAATTTACTTTTGAAACAAATGTAAATTTTTATATATGTAATGTAATGGTTGTCTACTTTGCTTACTATGTGCATTGGATTTGATACTCAACGTGGAGTCAACCTTGGAAATGTTTCCGCCTTTGGTTTTCGGGGTGTGACACTTAATCTGTATAGAATGACTAATGGATTAAACCGACAAGCCTGGCTTAACGTACGCATGTACAATTTTCAGATCGACCTGGAGCAATTTGAGAAGATTTTAAAATACATAAAATCTGAGGTTGAAAGCAATGCGACTCTTGAATGTGGAGGTGACAGATTAGGGTCCAAAGGTTTCTACATCTAACCAATCGTTTTCTCTAATGTTCTGGTACAATGTTTACCAATAAAACCCTCATCTATCCCTTGACCAAAACGTAAGAAACGTTGACAAACATTATAAATTGTTTATATTATAATTGTGCAACATAAAGAGCAGTCAATGGAGTTTGTTCCATGTATTTGGTTTTAAGTTTATCGAATGTCTTATCACTTTTCCATTACAAATTTTCTTTAATTTCATTTTATTCTGTTGCAGATATTTATTTTATTTTGATTATATTAATCTATATTTAGTATATTAATATTAATTAAGATGGAAAAGGTTTGCCCTAGATGTGGGACCCAATTTCCATATGTAGTAATGGCAGAACCAGAAGTTGCTGCTAGTGACTATGTCGTCAATTGGTCAAAATACTATTTGTCTTTCATAACCCAATCTTTAAAAATAAAATATTTTTTGTAAACAACCTACACAGATGTCAAATTTTACCCGAAAAATAGAAAGTTTTTATGTAGCATGTTGCAGTAATTATTGACTTTGTAGTAGAAATAGAAATAAAATATTGATAAATATTTATTCATCATACACGTGGCATGAAAGGAAAAGATGAGGTGGTGAGCAAGGATAAGAACTAGAGAAAAGAGGACATGACTAATGTGTAGGTAGCCTACACACCTTTACAAGCAAGTTGTTTTACATGTTCATTCTTTTGTATCTTAATCGCCAACTATATTTATTTGTTCAGTTCGATTATTATTATTTACAACTATTATTAAGTTAATGGTGGGAATATATTTGTTGTATAATATGTTGCAGAATCACAACAATTTTTCGGTCTATTGATTTTGGATCTTTCAAAGTATTTCCCAAAAATGTGGATGTCGCTAAGGCATAGGTTAACAATCAAAGCTTTTTTTATTTTGCTTTGTATCTAATTTTGAATATGAATCATATGATACTTAGTATTTTGTTTTGATGTTTATTTGTAGATCTTATTACTGCAAAAAAAATATATGGTTATAGACAAGAGTATTCAAAGAACAACCCTTGGTTCCAATTTCATTTTAATTTCAAAATCCTAAAAAGATGAAAGTACAGATTAGTGTATCTCTCAACCATAAATTCACTTTGAAAACTTCTCTTTATATTTAAAAGGTTATTGTGATGGTTTTGTGGTTAAAAAAATTGGATCAAACTGACCCTGCATACTGTTTCTATACTTAAAACAAATTTGAATTGAGGATTTTTGGACCAAACTGCCCATGCATAGTGTTTTTAAACTCAAAAAAAAAAAAAATATTTTAACAGTTTTCGATGAAACTACCCATGCATATTATTTTTATGGTTAAAAAAATTGATTTTAGCAGTTTTGGACCAAAATGCCCCTGCATAATGTTTTTATAGTTAATTTTTTTTTTTAATTTAATAATTTTGGATGAAACTACGATTGCATACCGTTTTTATAGTTAATTTTTTTTTTATTAAAGTAGTTGTAATTACCTTCTCACCCAAATTAATCACATCACTCTTGTAGAAACTAAGGACCCATGACAACCTATGATTACTAGGTGTATACGTTGGGGGTTGTATATAATTAAGATTCTATCTTCATATCTCATGTATACTCATGGACCATCGCAACAACAAAAGGCTGTTAAGAATGTTCCCTCCACACAAATGCATAAATTATATGAGGTCAGAAGTTAAAACTTCATAAAGTCTCAATGGATACTTGATTTCTATATTTGTAATTGTGTTTTTTTTTTTTTTTACAAAAAAACTATGAAATTGTACATGAACATGCTTTAGAGCCTTGACACCTTTACAATTCCGATTCAGCAATGAAGTTAACAACCTTCATCTTAGTGGTGCACCCACTGATGAAAATTGGGAAAAAGGGATCCACGATTCTCCATGACTCTATAAGAAATTTTACTAAAAACTATATATGATTTACTCATTTACTATGCTAGGTTTCATGTATTTATTCATAATATTGCAAACTAAAGTTTTGCTTTGTTTATTTAACAAAAAAAGTCATGTTATGTTAGTAAATAACCGAGAAGGGTACATCTGTCAAATAATAGAAAAGTAAAAACTACTACTTTTCTATTAACATTTACATTTTGCCAAGGTTTATAGAGAAGAAAACTAATGCAAAACCATTTTGTGGCATCATTAAAATTTATAAATTAAAGAAAGTTGGTCTTAACAGATGAGAAACGTGTGTGTGGGCATATATATATATATATATATATATATATATATATATATATATATATATATATATATATATATATATATATATATATATATATATATATATATATATATATACATGTAAATTAGTTAGCAACAGGAAAGATTTGCCTCTTCTTAAATGATTACTTTTATCCAACTATACATTAACAAAACTATAATTCTACATCCTCTTTCAACTTTTGACTAAGATTCATCTTATATAATAGTTAGGATAATAATAAACAATGTTGATTTTTTTTTAAAATATAAGATTGTTTACAAAAGAACCTAAATTTGTCAAAGAAGTTGCAGAAACCACTAGTGTGGTCCTAGACATTGACTTTTGAGCCATTAGACTTAGAGATCATTTCATGTTTTTCTAGTTGAGGTGCTCCAGTATGCTACTTTCCTTTTCGGTGTAAAGAATAACTTACATGTTTTAGTCATTGACTTTATCTGATCAAATAACATTTACAAAGAATAAACAGGTGAAAAAATTATCGCATCCAATCCCCACAATGCGGGGATCCCCCATCTAGTTATTATAAACTAAATTATATGCATATGTTATTTTATTACATGGGAGTGTATATTATTTTTGCTATACACACATATTAATCAAATATGTAATACAAATTAAATAGACATTGAGACAATATAATTCAACTACTATCTAATAAAATTATTCATATTTATATGTATTAAATAAAAATAGATGTTTGGAAGATGTTATATATATAAACATAAGACCCTACAGTTTTAGAAATAATATTTGACATATCTTTAGAATTAGTAGTTGATAACTTTCAACCCAAATATAAAATCAATAAAATTAATCGTATTTATGTATATTAAATTACAATAGCATAGTCATCGAACTATAGATTTTTTGAAAAAATCATTTTGTAATAAAAAATTTGGAGGTAGAACGCTATGATGCGGAAAATTTTCAAACAATTCTAAAAAAAATATGAATAAAATAAGTACGCCATTAAAATAATATTCATATGTGAATAGAATTCATCAAAACACAATTCTTGTTCAAACAAACTTTATAAAAATCAAAATCCACTAACACTTTTATTTTAGGTCTAAATGTAAAATCTTCACTTAAAAATTTATCGTTATTTGTATCTTATTTTTCTTTTACAAACACACTTTCAACACATAACACGTCAATTTTGACAACACTTTTCTTTTTGCCCTGAACGCACAACCTTGAGACATTTCTTCATCATCTCTAAATACGAAAAACTTTTCGATAGACTCTTGTACACTACAAACTTCTTATGAACATTTAAGAAATAGGTAAAAAAGATGTGGAAAAAAGAAAGAAACCTATTTGAAACTTCTTTCATTCTCATGTACTCAAATAATGGAAATGAAAAGAGAAGAGAAACAAATATTTCTTAAAGAAAATATTTCAATTAAAGAAACATTTAAATAGCATAATATGAAATTTTTGAGAGTTTCAAATATATATATATATATATATATATATATATATATATATATATATATATATATATATATATATATATATATATATATATATATATATATATATATATATATATAGATGATTTATCTTAAACCATATTCTTTTAAATGACCAACTTTATAAGAGAACTAGTGGAACATTCGTACGTTGTACTGGAAGAAAATTATATTGTAATATATATATATATATTGTTAAATAGAACTAATATGATGAAAGAGATGTTATTGGAAGGTTTGGCATTTAAGACTTATATTATAGTATTTATATTTAACCGTATAATTTTGATTCTTTATCCGTAGGTTGCACATTAAATTAAAATTTTAAACACAATTAATTTAATAACTATACTCATTTGTTTATTTATTTAATTTATTTAACCATATTCAATTGAACACCCCCACCCCACCCATATACACAAAACCCTTCTTTTTACAATATTTAATGGATTGGTTGGTTAAAATACTTTTATTATATAACTCCTACAACTTTTCAAATTATGTTAACTTATTTATTAGTTAATCAAAATATATGAATTTAGATTAACGATCTTGCTTTTTTTACTATTATATATAAACACTTTTTCTTAAAGTATGTCATTATCTAGTGAAGTATATGTTGGTATTTCACTAATTGTATTTAAGTGTAACGAGTTGACTTGTTGATCAAAATTAATTCTGATGAATATTAAACAACTAAGGAAGATGCGGAGTGCACACTTGTTTAAGTTTATTCAAGATTCAAAAAATATTGTCATTTAGGGGGCGAAGCCACTAAACGAATGGGGGCCCGGGGCAGTGCCTCTGGAAGCGAGGTCCAAGAGGCGACATCCTCTTGCGGGGTCTAAGGGGCAAAGCCCCTGGCTGGGATCAAGCTTTGAATATTTGACCCAAATTTGGCTTTGCATTAATCCTTGTAGAAAACCCGTTTTATGATAGTTTTTTTACTGTTGGAAAAAATGTTTTATGACCGTTTTATCAGTTTTTAGAAATGAAATTGTTTTGTGATGGTTTTCTAACAAAGGAGGTATTGTAATTTTGGTTAGTTTTTTGGTACTTACAAACTTGATACTTCTCATTCTCTCTTCTGAATCTCTTATGAGTCCTATCCAATCAAATATTAGGAAGTACCACTCAAATACTTTGATTTAAAAGTGAATTCACAATATGTTAAATCACTTGTTGTATATATATTAGCAGTGGAAGGTTATACGAAGGTTATACTTAAATAATCTACACATTTACATATACAATATGTTAAATCACTTGTTGTCATCTTTTACTTTGTAATTCCAACAAAAACAAAAGGAGAAAAGAAGCAAAAGTGTTAGGTTAATGTTCTTATATAGATAAAATATTTTGATTAACTAATGAATTGAGGAATTAATTAGCCTAAGTTGAAAAGATGTAGAAGTTATATAGTAATAACATTTTAATCATCCAATCCATTAAATACCTTAAGATGAAAAGTTGTACGGGCTTCAAATTAATATGGTTCAAGATATATTATTTATCTTAAACCATTTGAATGACCTCCTTTATAAGATTTACTAGACGAATACTCACGCGGTTCGCATGTTAAAAAAATATTAGTAATATATTAAAAAAATATTTATTATTTAAAATGGTTATTTTATTGACATTAATATTGACAAATTAATTTGTACATTAATTTTATATATAATCACAATTGTTTTGAACAATATTAGTAATTTGAACACAATTCTCGATTTAGTTTAATTTTTAATAATTGGGATGATCGACTAATTTAAGATTTTAGTTATATTACAATCTTTTAATTTTAATTATATATATATATATATATATATATATATATATATATAATATATATATATATATATATATATATATATGTTATTTTTTTAACTATCATTATTAATTAATTTAAAAACCACTTTACAAATATTCTATTATTATAAAAAATTAGTTTTTAGATATAATTTTAATTAATTTGATAATTCGATTGATGTTTGTATTTAACACGTTTAAACAAATTAACTAATTTAAAAACAAATGTTTGCTATTTTTAACTTTATTTGAGATTTTGATTTAAAATTTAAATCTAATATCATATTTTAATTAATAAATTAAATATATTATGTTGATAATTTAAAAATTGAATATATACGATATATTAAACACTATATTTAAATTACAAAACTAAGTATATTATATTAGTAAATCAAATAATCTACCATATCAATGCTAATAATTTGTAGTTAATAAGTTAAATAAAGTTGGAAGTCGATATGACATGAGTTTCAAATCAATATATTAAAATTCAAAAAAATATA